AAAAGTTGGGTAGCTCAACTGATGATGCCAAATGGAAGAAGATACTTGTCACCAAAAAGAGCAAATGACAGTTGTTGCTTTGGTAATGAAGCAGTATAAGATGTAATCCATTTTCACTCGTGTGGAAAATCCATCAAAAATGAAAAAAAAAAATTATCAATAAAAAATTGGTGAACATATGGTAGATTGACCGACACATTAGGACAATGTGGAACATTTTTCATATAAAAAGCAAAGGAGTTGATTTGGAAAGTATTGAAACCAATATGAGAAATAGGCAAACTTTCAACAATTTTAGGCAACCTATCTGTCTGAACTGTCAAACGAATTATGATTAGGAAGATTGGCAAGATAATAAGTTATATGAGTCGAGACACCACTGTTAATTATCTAAGTTTGCTAATTCGAGGAGCCTAAAGATTTGGCCACCATAGTCTCCACATCCTCCATTCAAGTTTTTTGTGCAAAAAAATAATAATAATAATAATTTTTTTGATATCTGTACTATCTATTCATTGCCGAATTTTGAAGTGTTGAATGCTGAAAATTTTAATTCGCGGACTATTTGGTACCCAATTATATTCAAGTGTTAAATTGAACCAAACTATTTAATAACTAAATAGAACTGAAGTTTGAATAATAAATTAATTTTTAGTTTTACCCTTCCACTTTTTACATTTAAAATATTTATGAAATATCACTACAAGTTATGAATCATAATCACTATTATCATATTATAGTACACATTTAAATACATGATAATAAAATTAATTCAAGTTAAATTATACAAGTACTCTTAGCTTCTTGTAATTCCTAAAATTCAAAGCAACCTTACTTTCTTGTCATTTAATTTTATCCACGTCTGTATAACTACTTCTGATTTTTGACGTAATAAAATTCACTACTCTCTGTGTCCTTTACTCACAAAAAATACTGCACGCAACATAATATAATGAGTCACTCATTCCCAAAAGTTGTATCTCAACCAAAAATACGATTACATTCTTCCATACTCGACCTATCAACATTTTACACTGCCTAAAGAGCTTCAGATAGTTTTTCATTAAGGTCACCACGTTAGCTTTCTTTTTTTTTTTTTTACACATATTGGCTTGTTTTGTCACATTTTTTTATGAAGAAGATGTCCCAGCATATTTGAGATTAAGATTAATCAGTATTTGTGACTGAGAGTCGACCACATCAGTAGGCAACCCTTCATTCGATGGACCCCAAGAATTTTTTATGTTTACTCTAAAATCATCAAACAAAACTTTTAACTCATTTGCATACTGTAGTCCATTATAGCGAAATTACTTTGCATCTAAATTAGCTAGTGATATAAAAATTTAAAAAATCTCATAAATTGCCTTTTAGTTCTATAAGAATAATTAACATTGAATAAAGCAATACATTTATGTACTTCTCCCATTCTATTGAACTCCAATTTATAATATTCGTTTTTAGATTGTAAGCATTCCTTGTTTTTGATATTATTTTTGACCAAATTTCATATTTTATTCTTAGATATTCCAACTGATTCTTCAATTGTTTTTGGGATAAATCAATATTATTCTGCTCCTTTAAAGCTACTCTTATACAATCTAGATTATTTCTTTTGATTGCCTCCATTGTTTCCTTTATCAAATAATTTTTGCACACACAAATCTATGAAAATTTTAAGCAATTTTGGATCCTTCCAATTTGTTCTATCACCATCACCATAAAATATCGCTACATAACCATTTTTTAACAAAATATCAAACAAGGTTAGATGTGTATGGTATTGTTTAACACAGTCAAATGATTATCGTGACCTACCGGAATAGTTAAACAAAATAAAAAGAAATTGATGATAATTAAAAGTATTGAAGAACACAAGACAATTAACCTTAATAAATAGTTGCTCATTAACACTCTTCACAAAAAAAAAAAAAGTAAATTGAATAAATAAATAAATAAATAATCTAGCACAAAGAAAGAATTGAAGAAGAGACCATACCTGTTGGACCTCATTGACAGACGGTGGAGGCTAGGGAGATTGATTGTTTTGGATAAAAGAACACTTCAAAGTTTTAATATGATTGTGAAATATTTTAGTGAAATTGGGGTTGAGTTCTCGTATATAGACTTATAATGACTTGAGTCTATTCTATAAACTTATTTGGTGTTAAATCCGTTTTTTTATCTTACTAGTAAGTGATTAAGTCCACTATTTTTTTTAAATCTCAAAAATACCCTTAACAGTTTTATTCTGTTCAATTATAGAAACTTTAAAGATCTTAAAAGTAATTTTAAATTAATTTCTTAAATTAGAAATTATTATCCCATAATTCACTCCAAAATTGAAATCCAAATTCAAATTTTAAATTGATTAGATTCAATAAATACCTTTTCGATTTTACTATTCCAGTTTATTGTGGATTCCATTGACAAAGTTATAGTTGATTCTTGGCATTCAAAACATCTTCACACCTTTCGGATTCAAAAATAGAATTAACGTATGTGATTTTATGGGGAAAGTTGATGTTCGTTGTATTTCAATAATTTTCAAACAATTGAAATCTCTCCCCTCCTCCAGTGAAATCCCACCCTTCCGTTAACCTCGACAACTTTTTACCCTTCCAGTGAAATCTAAACCCCCCTCCTAATACAGCCCACCCCAAACAAAACTATCCTCTCTTCCCTTAGTTAGTGCTTTGGCAAAGAGAAAGGAAGGAAAATGGAGATAAGTAAAGGCTAAGGGTATAGAAGTAATTTTAAATTTTATGTCTAATTACAGTTAATTGAAATATTAGGGGGTAAATTGTTTAATTTTAAATTAGAGGGACTTAATTGAAATAAGACCCAAAGTTTAACGGGACATTTTGTAATTAACCCTAAGTTCCTAGGCCCAATAAGATTATATAAAAAACCCACTCTCTAATTTTATTTCTTATTAGGTCCCTATTGAAAGGTCAAAAGAATAGATATAAATAACGCTCTTTACAATTACAAAAAAATAACAACCATGACTTCACTTAATTTAAACACATATTCTAAGAAACTATATTATAATATTATACATTTTTCTCTATAAATACAAATTGTAAGACAAATACACACAAATCTTAAGACAAGTACATTAAAAAAAATAGGTACGTAGTTAATATATATATATACATACGCACACACACACACACACCTTTCAGATATAAAATAAAAAGTAGGTAATAAAAAAATATAAAAAATAGTAGGTATACAATAATCGTCAGATAGATGCACTAAAATATAAATCGTTTATGTACATTCTCTTCTATAAACACAGATCGTCAAACATATACACTAAAACATAGATCATGGGTCAACTAAAACAAAAATCGTTAATGTACATTTTTATCACTAAATAGGTACACTAAAAATACATATCGTTAGACAGATACACTAAAACACAAATTGTTAATGTACCTTCTTCTCAATGAACACAGATCATTAGACAGATACACTAAAACATATATCGTCAGACATCATCATAATGTCCAAATAGTTTGGTTCACTAGTTTGAAGTTCAAAACTGATAGACAATACCAAAAAAACATAAATAACAAACGGCAAAAAAAAAAAAATTAACTATATTTTAAGCTAAAATCATGTAATGAGAGAAAAATAGGTAAAGAAAATCAGTAACTAACTAGTTCCTTAACATTGTCGCCAACACAGGGACCACTACATTCAAATTTTTTCAAAAACTAGATGACTCTTTTTTTATACTAAAAATTTGATAGGACTAAAATTAGTTTACGTACCAAACGTGGAATTCTAGCCTAATTAACTCCTAAATCTACCCTCTCAAAAAAGTTCTCATGCACCTTGATCCTCTTAATTATCTTTCCACAAATTACTTAAAAATGTGTTATCGATCTTTATAAAAAAATTTTATTACTACTAATTCAAATTTGTCTTATATTCTAAATTTGCCCCACTACAATATTTTGCTATCTCAGTCCTTGGGGGGTTCAATTACATGGAAGACAACTCAGAATTGAGTGCATAATTCAAATTATAGACCCACACCAATACGAGTCAGCCGAGTTTTATCGGACACAACGCACTGTTTAGTGTAAATCACAAATAGCACACATCTTATAGTTGACTCTGAGAAAATCTCGAACTACTTAGCCAAATTATATGACCCATTGTTTCTCGACACCATGATTTGATCTGCATCTCATCTCATGGTTAATGTAGGCTGTAAATAAATGACATTCAATTTCATAGTCGATACTACAATACTCAATCATGTTGCTACAAAAGGAGAATGTGAACGAAGCTGTGTTGGTTAAGTTCTCTATTCCTCTGGGGTGAATATTGATGGATAAGTTGCTGCTAACATTAGAGGACCATAAACTACTTTTTCGCTCGGGAATTTTTTAGTTAAATAGCAGTTGGGGAACCAGCATATCGACAACTATGAACTACCATTTGCATTTCGCCACCAACTATATTAAATCAAAGATACTAAATTAAAGTCACTGCATAGGTCAATTTGAAATCCATTGTTTAGTTTTCTACAATTGTAGCCTAACTAAAATTAGAAAAGTCTTTTTTTTTTTTTTTTTTCTAAACCCTTCATTTGGAGCCTAAAAACATTGTTTCATCTCCTTTTCTCGCATCCACAAATTAACCAGTAAAAACTTGAGATCACCCACTTCTCTCTCTATCTTCAATTCTCTCTCTCTATCTTTCTCTAAACACACGCAATTTCATCAATTCTCATATCTCCTCCAAGGGCCAAAAACAATTCAATTCCCTTTTCTTCAACCTACAGCTCAAATCCAAAAGGTACATTCATCCATACCCCGATATACACAACTGTCATCGAACCGGCTTGAACCATGGTCCGTGCCATGGTCCTGATATGGGCCTGTTCTGTGCTTTTGGCCATGGTCAATCTCGTTGATGGCATAGGTGTGAACTAGGGCACTCAGGCAACACAAAATCTGCACCCAAGTGTGGTGGCTCAAATGCTTAAGGACAATAAGATCAATAAGGTTAAACTGTTTGATTCGGATAATTGGACCGTCAAATACTTTGCCGGAACTGGCATGGAAGTCATGCTTGGTATCCCAAATAGCCAATTGAATCGATTTAGCGACGATTATGACAATGCCAAGGACTGGAAGGACAATGTCACCAAACATTTGCATGATGGTGGTGTCAATATAAAGTGAGTAACCTTCGCTAACAATCATGGTTTAATATAGTGACTGATTTGGTGGTGTCCATCTCGGTACCTTCTGTTTGGAGATGTATACACTTCATGTGTACACCACATCGGCGATGTCTCAGAAAACTTCTAGTTGTCCGAGTTAACATCAGCGAATTACAGTGTACCCAATGTACAATGCCGCGCTATGGCCACAATTATTGGTCATATTTGACTTCTTCTTCTATCTATTGCTTCATGCACGTTCTCTGATGCTATGATCGATGCGTCTCAATGCCTTTGAGTCTGTTGCTGATATTGCAAACTCGGCCAAGTTCTCTTGTTTGTAATTATCATTTTTTTTTCCTGATTTCATGCATTTTACAGGTACGTGGCTGTTGGCAATGAGCCATTCTTGAAATCTTACAATGGCTCACATCTGAAAACTACCTTCCCAGCATTAAAAAACATTCAGAAAGCTCTTGATGCAGCTGGTGTTGGAGACAAAATCAAAGCAACCATCCCCCAAAATGCGGATGTCTACGACTCTGGTTCACAAGGTCCATCTGCCGGTGATTTCCGATCGGACATAAGGGACCTTATGATCGATATAGTTCAATTTATCAAAGACAACAATGCCCCATTTGTCGTCAACATATACCCCTTTCTCAGTCTGTACGGCAATCCTGATTTTCCTGTCGAGTTTGCTTTCTTTGACGGTGGTGCAGAACCTGTCAATGACAAAGGTACTCAATACACAAACATGTTTGATGCAAATCTTGATACATTATTTTGGTCACTCAAGAAGGCTGGTGCACCGAACGTGAAGACCATCGTCGGGGAGATCGGATGGCCAATCGGATGGAAATATAAATGCCAATGCCAAAATGGCTAAGAGGTTCTATGATGGATTCTTCAGGAAAATGGCTACAAACAAAGGAACCCCACTTCGCCCGGGGCCAATTGAAGTATATCTGTTTAGTCTAACAGATGAGAATCAAAAAAGTATTGCCCCGGGCGACTTTGAGCGCCACTGGGGCATTTTCAGGTATGACGGACAGCCTAAGTTCCCGACGGACTTCACCGGGAAAGGTCAGGACAAAATGCCAGTTGGAGCAAAAAATGTACAATACCTACCACAGCAGTGGTGCGTGTTAAACAGTGACATAAAGAACATGAGCCTGGTGCCTGAAAATGTTAACTTTGCCTGCTCATTGTTCGATTGCACAAGCTTGACATACGGATCAACGTGCAATAAACTGGATGTTCGTGGGAATGTCTCGTACGCATTCAATATGTATTTCCAGATGAATAATCAGGACGTCGAGGCATGCGATTTTCAGGGTCTGGCCAAGATTGTGACTCGAAATGCCTCACAAGGGGACTGCCTCTTCCCTATACAGATTGTAAGTGATGGAAGGAGACTTACCATGGTAACTAGAGTGAGTGTTCTTGCATGAACTTCATTGGTGCCTTGGGCTGGTGGCACATCTTGTCTCGTCACTAGCCCTCCTCTATGGCCCTGGCTCCGTCGGAACGATGCCTTGTTCAAAGCTCCCATTGGCATAAGCACTCCCATCTCTGGCCTGACCTTCACTCCCCAATCCAAGCATATCTCTGTCACAAGCATGCATAAGAGGAGTGAATTCCTCTTTACATCACATCCCTTCATCATCTTAATATCAATAACGGGAGATCGATGCTTTGGTTCTTACCTACAGCGTATAGCAATCGGGGTCATCTCTGAGAGGATCTCGTTCTTGCATCCAATGGGGACAAGGTTCGAAACGGCAATCAAATTTAGCATTTTTTATTTAGCAGTCAACTCAACTTGCCTAAATAATCGCCTTCCTCCCCATGCAAATGTTGACAATCCCGTAAACTCTACTCCACCCACATCCATCTCCACATTCCTCCTTGGGGGGTAACTGGGCCATGGTACTCGTGGTATGACCCTCATCTCCACAATATAGTCCTCATCGACATTGATGTGAGCGCCCCTCACATATGTTTTGATCTCCCCAATCACAATCTTGGCATTGGAGTAAAAATCCCTCACTAACTCCTTCACCACATCACCCCTATTTCTCAAATACATAGTCCAACCTCTTTCCTCCATATTTGCATAAATTCCCAACTCTGCAAAATCCAACAATTCAATGGTACGTTTACAAATAATGGCTTGGTTTTGAAAGAAATTTTCATACCTATCGGCCTTTAAAGCGCTAGAGAATCGAGTTCTATCGTACCTTTGGATCAAAGGTGGTCTTCCCTCCATTTACTCAATCACCTCTTCCACAATGTTGGGCTCTTGGTTGGCCGCCTTTTGTCTAACGGGCATTTTCATTCTAGGAGGCATTTTTCAGATTTTGGGGTTTGGGGGCTTGACAAAATTGGGATTTCTTTGTTAAAATGTGAGAAATGAGGTGGAAAAAGGTTTTGGATGGTGGATTTTTGGTAGAGATGGAGAGGGGATGAAGATTTGAGGCTTGGGTAGAAGGGTCGCCCTAGGGTTTGAAGAACTTGGGGGGTTTTGGGTGGTTTTGAAGTGGAGAAGACAAACCGGGTATTTATACCCAAGTAGCCAATGTTCAAACGTTACTGACATTCGAACGAGTATAGAAGGAACTTAAAAAGAAGGTTCGAACATTAAACTGTCGTTCGAATGACAGTTGCTTCCAGTACTTTTGATGTCCTACAGAGATCAAAGTACTGTAAACTCCTTTCGTTCGAACGTGATGATGGAATTTGAACATGGGGTTCTAGTTCAAGTGTTCAAATGTGGGGTGCTCTCAGTACTTTTAAAGTTCTATAGAGGCCAAAGTGCTGTGAGCTCCAAGCATTCAAACACAAAAATCAAAATCAAAATTTTATATACACATTTATATACACATATTAAAATAAGATTATATGAAAAAATTGAACTTGGAAAATCATGGCATCTTGGGATAAGTCCTTACACACACTACAACTTCATTGGTATTTTAGGACATTCCTTACTCGGCCCGCATCTTTATTTCAAAAAAAGAGTTTGTACACTTAACAAAAGATATTTACACTTTTTACAAAAAAAATTGGACCATTAACCTTTAACAAAAACATAATTTTCCATAAATTTGTCAAAAAGCATTCTAATCCGAGTCTTGCCCTGACTCCATGTCATTCTAACCATCGGTGACTCTTCTAATTTCTTGTAGCACAAAACATGTAAGTACAGGACCGGAATAGCATGGCATCTCAGGATAATCCTTACTCTACCCATTCACTATTTAGTCAAATCAATTGAGTGCACAACCAAATATTAGTTCAGAACACTGATTATATTCCTTCATGTGAAAGATCCTACCACATTGTTTACATGCACTAAGTCTTTTGGCACGATGACGTTTAGCAAAAGTACTTTGGCCACACAGTGATTTTGCTTACTCTTCACGAATTTCAGTTTTTCTCACCAATCTTGTTTTTCTCATTATCACAGAATGCACATCGATGGAAAAGTGTGTAAAATTCCTAAACTGAACCAAAAAAATCTTACTATCCATGCTTGTTAAGCTTAAGACACCCTATATGGTTCTTTATCGTCTGCTAGTCACAAAGACAATTGAAGCTGCCTTAAAGACATAATCATCATTTTTTATATACTATAGTGATTGTATAAATACGAAATACAAGACAGAATACACAATATGATCAAGAGAAAAATTTTAAAGCACACAAAATATGAACTGTAGTTCTCACCCCCAACCTAAACTCAACATTGACCTCAATGTTTCAAATTTACCAGTATATGCAAAGTGTAGTTAGGGTTGAAAATAGAGATCTGTTCATCTGCCGATGCCTACAAACAAAATACACAATTTAATCATCTTTACAAAAATTAGGGTTTCGTTTAGCATGGAAACCCTTGTTCGTAAGTGCAACCAGAAGAATGACACCCATGAGCAAATACAGAATTAAAATGCAAAGTATGAAACAAAGCATTGTGTCTATGGAGTGTGTGGCCATGGAATTGCAGAGAGTGGATCATTTGAAGAGAAAAGGGAAGAAGAAGAACAACGACGTATGGGGAAAAAGGGATTAGGGTTTGCAGGCCTTATAAAGGCGTCCATTAAGGTTAGGTTGGGTCAAAATTTTCCTGACTCGACCTTTTTTTTATGTTGACAGATGTGAATCTCGGTAGAATATTATGTATCCATTAAAAAAATGGTTTTCACATCTTTAACAAAGTCTTCAAACAATGGTTTCAAACATTGACCATTGACAGTAAAAATATTGTCATTTGACAGATTCTCCACTTCCACTGCCCCATGTCCAAACACTTGTTTGACAATGTAAGGCCCAGTACACCTTGATCTTAACTTACCAGGAAATAGGCAGAGCCTTGAATTGAATAAGAGGACTTTCTGTGAAGGGGCAAAGGATTTTTGCGCTATGTTTTTTGTCATAAAAAGCTTTCATCCTATCCTTTATAATTTTAGCATTGTCATATGACTCATTCCTTAACTCTTTCAACTCATTGATCTGAAGTTTTCTTGAAACTTCAGCCTTGTCTAGGTCAAAGTTCATGGTTTTATTGGCCCATTATGCTTTATGTTCCAATTTCACAGGTAAGTGACAAGGTTTGCCATAAACTAATCTATAAGAAGATATGCCCAAAATTGTTTTAAAAGTAGTGTGATATGCCCAGAGTGCATCAATTAGTCTTAACGACCAATCTTTGCAGTCCGGGTTTACCTTTTCTCTAAAATTAGTTTGATCTCTCGATTAGTTAATTCTACCTGTCCACTAGTCTGTGGATGATAAGGGGTTACAATTTTATGAGAAATCAAGTACTTTTTAATCAAATTCTGAAAAGGACGATTGTAAAAATGAGCGCCCCCATCACTTATTATAGATTTAGGAATTCCAAACCTAGACAAAATATTTTCTTTAAAAAATTTGATCATTATTTAATGATCGTTATTTCGGCATGGAATTGCTTCAACCCATTTGGACAAATAATCAACAGCCATTAATCCCACACACTTGTTCTATGGGAGGGCCAACATCGACTTGATTTGCCTTTTTCATCTCTAGAGCTTCAAGCTTTTGAGACATGGTAGTCATTTTTGCTCTCAGGTCATCATCTTCTTTCAAGACATACTTACCCCCTTAGAAAGTAAATGGTTTGGCTTCAACAGTGGTAAGAGAGGTTGAGTCCCACATCTGAGAACTATCAGATATGGTGTCAAAAAAATTGAATTCCTCCTCCAAACTATTTCCCATGAACTCTCCCTGAGCCATCATTTTAACAAACTGACGTAGTCTAGTGGGCAAAGAATCATAGAAAAATTCTACCAAAGTCCAATTCTCAAAAGCATGGTGTGGGCAGGATAGGAGAAGATCCTTGAATCTCTCCTAACATTGGTAGAATGTTTCTCCCTCTTTAATTGAAAAATTCATGATTTGCCTTTTGAGTGCAATGGTACAGTGTAGAGGAAAATTTTTTTTTGAAAAACTCATTTTGTAATGCAAGCCAATTTGGTATTGAATGTGCTTTCAAAAAATTTAGTCATTGTTAAGCTTTGTCCTTTAAATAAAAAGGAAAAATTTTCAACTTGGCCAATTCAGAATTATCTTTGAATGTTCCACATACCTCCTCAAAATCTTTAATATGTAGATACGAATTTTTTGATTTAAGTCCATGAAATTGAGGTATTAGTTGCACTGTCCTCGCCTTTACATTAAAGAGGGGTGCATTTGCAGGAAACACAAAATAAGAGGGGACATTGTTTCGTGTGGGATGCAAATAATCTCGCAGAGTTCGAATGTTAGGAACTTCCCCTTCTCTCTCGGGAACTTTGTCTTGTCTCTCATTATTGGCCATGCTTTTATCAAAAGAGTCTGCTACTAATCAACGTGAAGATAGTCCAAACTGATTTACAGACCAAACAGATTCTTCTGGAAAATTTTGAAAGCAAGGATCATCCTCAGACATAAAATGAGAATTATATACAGTAAATCAAAAATATGTACAACAAATAAAGGTCTTTTCACCTTTTACTTTAAAACACCTTTTTGGTTCTCCGGCAATGTTCCCAAAAACTTGACTTGATCTGAAATGTGTACACCTGAGTGTAGGCGGTCAAGTTGTAGTTATAATCCGGTTAATTCCAGAATCAAATCCATAGTGAACGAATGTTGGTGTTTTGGAGTAAATAGTGACAGAGACCAATGTGACTGAAACCCTTGAAATTAGAAGTTATGATGTTTAGGGAATCTCCTAGACAGAATATAAGATTCTTTCCAAAGGGTTTTTATAGACAAAATATAATATTCTCTCAAATTTAAAAGTCGCCATTTAGCTCCAGGAACTGAACATGTAGTCAATCATCCGCTTGTTATATTTGTGTTTGAGAACTCAATT